ATCGCATTGGACTGATTATCAACACGTGCATAAGGAAGTCCGGCTAAAATCGGTCGGGCCCCGTTACGTTAGTGTGTGTGTGAGTATGTATGTGAGAGTGTGTGAGAGTGTGTGTGTGAGTTTGTGTGTGAGTGTGTGTGAGTGTGTGTGTGTGAGAGAGAGTGTGTGAGTGTGTGAAAGTATGTGTGAGAGTGTGTGAGAGTGTGTGTGTGAGTTTGTGTGTGAGTGTGTGTGAGAGTGTGTGTGTGAGAGAGTGTGTGAGTGTGTGTGTGTGTGTGTGTGTGAGTGTGTGTGAGAGTGTGTGTGTGTGTGAGAGAGTGTGTGAGTGTGTGAGAGTGTGTGTATGTGTGAGTGTGTGTGAGAGTGTGTGTGTGTGTGTGTGTGAGTGGTATATGTCAGAAAATCGAGTCTCTGTTTGCAACCAATTACCGACTGAATGAATAAGGTTCGATCTCAACATATATCGCGTTGGTTGAATACATGAATTTATTGCCTGAATCCAGTAATGCTCTATTACATAGCAATTATGAGTACACATATGGGGCATAAAAGATATGAAATAGGAAACCACACAATAATATAAAAAGACTACACAACTAAAACTAACTATTCGGAGCAGAGCAGCACTACCGGACTTCGCTGATTCAGGACTTTGTTGATTCAGCACTTTGTCTTTTCTGCAACAAGTCTTTAGATCAGCACTTTGTTTCCAGCTCTCGGTCTTCTCTGCTCCACACTGTCACCTTCCTTTATTCTTCTCTGTCCTTCCGTTTCAAGTCAAGAAGTCTCAGCCGTCTTCCTCTGGAGTTAACCAACTTTAACCCTATTGCACTGCGATCTTTATACACCATTGTAGCCGATCACGGTATACACCACAGTGTCCAGTGTCACCTGCGCACATGGTCAGTGCATGTCTTTCTCATTCATTCCCCACTGTGTGGAGTGTGGAGTCCTGTAGCTCAGTGGTTAGAGCACTCACTTTGCAAGTGAGAGACCTGAGTTCAATCTCAGACAGAGGGCGAAACCTTGGGCAAGTTTCCTTACTCCACACAGAGCCTAATAATAATCCTCCAAAACCTAAAACAATAATAAATTGGTCATTTTCAATCCCCGACTGTTTGTGGGACATTGCTGTGCGCAATTGGCTGCCGCGTTCGCCCACAAACATACAGTCAATTCACTTTACAGTGTGTTCTGTGAAGCGCTTTGGGACGTCCTCTCCCGACGTGAAAAGCGCTATATCAAATGCGAGAATTATTATTATCATTATCACTGTCCGGTCTTAAAGGTCAAATAAAGATACAGTCACGTACTCAGGTCAATCAACCCTCTGGCTTGGGGCCATCCGGACTGAGTCTCCACATCTGAGACTCAGTGTCTCGGATGTCACTATTACCGACAAGGCCATCTCTGACCACTACTTCATCTCCTTCACTCCTTCACCTCCCACCCCCCTCCCCACCTCCACCAGACCACCATTGGAAGAAGTTACCCCCACAATCCCTAACCGATGCCTTGGAGTCCTCTGAACTCCTCTCCCTCTGGCCTTCAACCCTCACCGACCCCTCTTCTCCTCTCTCCCTCCTCCACAATACCCTCTCCTCCACACTCGATACTCTTGCCCCCATCACTTCCCGCACTGTCTCCTACTCCCGCTCCTCCCCCTGGTACACCACCCACCTCCGCTCACTGAAAAGCCAGGTGCGGGCTGCTGAACGCACCTGTGTCAAATCTGGCCTAACGGTCCACCGACAAATCTGGCTGGACCTCCTCAAAATTTACCGCTCCACTCTAGCCTCGGCCAAGTCGTCCTTCTACTCCAGGATAATCCTGGAGGCGAAGAACAACCCCAGGCTACTGTTTTCCACCACAACCCGACTCCTCCGTCCCCCCCGCCACCCCGCGCAGGTCATCTCCTCCAACCTTCACTGCGAGGAGATGCTGGATTTCCTTGAATCCAAGATCAAGGGAATCCGCTCCGCGGTCACTTCCCCTCCAACTTCCACCCACCACCCACCCCTTCCCTCCCACACTCCGACTCCTACCCATCCTCCCCTACACACCTTCGTACCCGTTTCCCCACCCTCTGTCACTGAACTCATCCTATCCCTAAAACCAACCACCTGCTCCCTTGACCCCATCCCCACTCCACTCCTTATCTCCCAGCTCCACTTTCTTGCCCCACATATCACTGACATCATCAACCTGTCCCTCTCCTCTGGCTCTGTCCCCATTCCATTAAAAACTGCCATCATCACGCCCACCCTGAAAAAACCCTCCCTTGATGCGTCGCAGCTATCAAGCTACCGGCCCATCTCCAACCTCCCCTTTCTCTCCAAGGTCTTGGAAAGAGTTGTCGCCTCCCAACTGCGCTCTTTCCTTTCCACCCATTCTCTTTTCGAACCCCTTCAGTCAGGTTTCCGTGCTGCCCATAGCACAGAAACTGCCCTGGTCAAGGTCACCAATGATATCCTGACCATCTGTGACCAGGGCTCCCTCTGTCTCCTCGTCCTCCTCGACCTATCGGCAGCATTCGATACGGTCGACCACGCTATCCTACTCCACCGCTTGTCCTCCCACCTCAACCTTCAAGGCACTGTCCTTGAATGGTTTAGGTCGTACCTTTCTCACCGTCTTCACTTTGTCTCGACGAATGGCTTCTCCTCCACCCCCCGTACTGTCTCATGTGGTGTCCCTCAGGGCTCTGTCCTCGGTCCCCTCCTCTTCACCCTCTATATGCTCCCCCTCGGTGACATCATCCGCAGACATGGAGTTAACTTCCACATGTATGCGGATGACACCCAACTCTACCTTTCCTCCTCTACCCTCAACTCCACGACCACCGATGTCCTGACAGCTGCCTGTCCGACATCGAGTCCTGGACGAGAGACAACTTTCTTCAGCTCAACGTGCGAAAAACCGAGGCCCTCCTGATTGGCTCACGTCAGCGCCTCCGCACCTCAGGCGCTGACACCATCAGCTCCGCACTCTCCACCTCTCAAAGCCAGTCAGGAACCTCGGCGTTTTGTTCGACCCTGAGCTGTCCTTTCTCCCTCACATCCGCACCACAACTGGCACCGCCTTCCATCACCTCCGGAACATCGCCAGACTACGGCACTACCTCACCCCTCACGCTGCTGAAACCCTGGTCACGCCTTTGTCACCTCAAGGCTGGACTATGGGAACTCTCTCCTCGCCGGCCTTCCCGCCACCTCCCTCCACAAGCTGCAGGTCATTCAGAACTCTGCAGCTCGTGTACTGTCCCGCACCAGGCACCGCGACCACATCACTCCCACCCTCACCCGCCTCGCTCGCCTCCACTGGCTCCCCATCCCCCAGAGGATTGATTTCAAGATCCTCATCCTCACCTACAAGGCCATTCACGGCCTTGCTCCCTCCTACCTCTCCAACCTACTATCCCCCTACCTACCTGCCCGTACCCTCCGTTCCTCTGGCTCTGGTCTGCTCCACGTCCCCCGCCCCAACCGCCCTACCATCGGTGGTCGGGCCTTCAGCCTCTCAGCCCCCAGGCTCTGGAACTCCATCCCCCAGTGCCTTCGCCACTTCCTCCCTTTCCTCCTTCAAGGCCGGTCTCAAAACCTTTCTCTTTGACCGTGCCTTCAGCTCCCCTCTCGACTCTCTTCCCCCTCCTCGCTCCCTCCCTTCCCTCCCCTCACCCTGACCATTTCCCCCCTGCTCGGGTCATGACCCAACTGTGCAGCGCCTTGGGACGTCCTCCTGACGTGAAAGGCGCTTTATAAATGGAATCTTGTTGTTGTTGTTGTTGTGTTGAGGTCTTCCCGTTGTCCGGTCTAAGATAGAAGATGGATCGGTTTAGGGCTGTATCTGGTGCTTTTCGTTTTGTTGTGTGGGATGTTAGTACATTCCTTTTAAGTAACTGGTTATTTTTTATCGGACTCCCAAGATGGTACCGAGGTCCTCCAGTTTAAACAACTTGCTCATTAGTTGCTATTCTTGAGGGTTGCCTTCTGTCGCTCGGCCCTGTCAGAATCCAGCGATTTATGGCTAAGTCGAGATCCTGGTCGACCGATACCTTGGACCGTTCCCTCTGTGTCTTGTTGTCAGTTACTGTTTAGGGCTGAGGCCCGGCCTTTTCCCAAAGCTGTCTTGTTATTCTTTCAAAAACAGAGAAAGACAGATGTGTCCTATCCCATGACAGTCAGTACTTTCTCCATTCTACATTTGTTTAATATTCATCATTATTATGCTACAACTTCTTTAATCTAACAGCAGGGCAGGAAGGCTTTTAAAGTGTGTGGAACTCGATTTCACCCCCTGGTAACATAACATAACATAACATAACATAACATAACATAACATAACATAACATAACATAACATAACGTAACATAACATAACATGTAGGAGCAGGAGTCGGCCATTCGGCCCTTCGAGCCTCTGCCCCGCCCTATTCATTCATGGCTGATCTTCTAATCCAACTCCAGCTAATAACCTGACGCTGCTTTATCCCCATAATCCCTTAATCCCTTTGGCAATAAGACATCTATCTCTCTCAGTCTTGAATATGTTCAAGGACTGAGCGTCAACAGCCCTTTGGGATAGTGAGTTCCATACATTCACTGCCCTTTGAGTGAAGTCCATCCTTCCCAAAATAAGGAACCAAAACTGCCCACAGTATTCCAGGTGTGGTCTCACAGGGCCCTATACAGTTGCAGTGAGACTTCCCAACTCTTATATTCTAATCCTTTCATAATGAACTCTAACGTACCGTTCCCCTTCCTAATCGCTGTTGCACCTGCAAAATAACTTCCTGTAACTGGTGTACAGGACACCCCGAGTCCCTCAGGACGCCAACACATTCCAATCTCTCCCCTTCTAAAAAATAATCCACTCCACTGTTTTTGCTCCCGAGGCGGATGACTTCGCACTTCCCTACATTATAGTTCAACTGCCACCCACCGGCCCAGTCACCTATCTATGTCGCGCTGCATTTTTTTAATGTCATCCTCTGGTGTGAGTTTATATGTGGTGTGTGTGAGTGTGTGTATGAGTGTGTGACAGAGTGTGTGTGTGTGTGAGTGTGTGACAGAGTGCGTGCGTGTGTGAGTGTGTGACAGAGTGCGTGCGTGTGAGTGTGTGGTGTGTGAGTGTGTGTGTGAGTGTGTGGTGTGTGAGAGTGTGTGGGTGGTGTGTGAGTGTGTGTGAGAATGTGTGTGTGTGTATGTGTGAGTGTGTGTGTGTGAGTGCGTGTGTGCATGTGAGTGTGTGTGGTGTGTGAGTGTGTGTGAGAATGTGTGTGTGTGTGTGTATGTGTGAGTGTGTGTGAGAGTGTGTGAGTGGTATGTGTGTGAATGGATTAGGACAGAAAAGTGACCGAGACAAACAGATACTGGGATATAATTTATTGGTGAGAGATTACAGGAAGGAAATGGCCTCACAGCACAGTTACACACTTCGAGATACACACATCAACAACATCGTAAAGATGTTATACGTCAAATGTATTCACACATAAAACCATAGAACCTCACAATGCAGAAAGAGGCCATTCGGCCCATCGTGTCTGTGCCGGCTCTTTGAAAGAACCACCAACTAATCCCCATTCCCCCGGTTCTTACCCCAACTGGTCCCCACTCGCCCACTCTTACCCCAACTAGTCCAATCATCCGGCAAACAGTCGTGGATTGAGGGACCAAATGATTATTATGTTGAGGTTTATAATCTCTCTTATACTAACTGACAATAAAGGATATGAATAAACCACATACAGGAACCATAATCCAAATGATTATTGTCCCATTGGTCAAGAAACAAATGTGTCCAGTTCTCATTTTAGGCAAATAAACACAGATTCTTTTGTGATATTTTGCCAAATTTCTATATCAGTGACTAAGATTTTCACAGCAAAATTTCCATTTGTTCGGCTGACGACTCAGCATTTGTGTTTGTGCATTGTTTTGGATGAAATGTGTCATCAGGTTATTAACAAGCGGATTCCTACTGACTGCCGGAAAACACAGGCGTGTGGGGTCCTCAGGGGTCAGACCCCTCACCTCACAAACCAGAGGGAGGACCCGGTTTCAATTCCCGGGCGGGTCAGGACTGGGTGAAACCTTAGGCAAGTTTCCTTACTCCCCCCACACCCACAGACACACACACACACACACACACAGACACACACGCACACACACACGCACACAGACACACACAGACACACACACACAGACACACACACACACACACACACACACACACACAGACACGCACACACAGACACACACACGCACAGACACATACAAACACGCACAGGCACACACAGACATACACACGCGCGCGCACACACACACACAGACGCACACGCACACAGACACACACTTACACACACACAGATACACACACACACACACACACACACACAGACCACACACAGACACGCACACACACACACACACAGACACGCACACACAGACACACACACAGACACACACACACAGACACACACACACACAGACATGCACACACAGACATGCACACACAGACACACACACACAGACACGCACACACACACAGACACGCACACACACACACGCACACAGACACACACACACACACACAGACACGCACACACACACACAGATACGCACACACAGACACACACACACACACAGACCCACACCCACAGACACACACACAGACACACACACACACAGACACAGACACGCACACACAGACACACACACAGACACGCACACACAGACACACACACACACAGACCCACAGACACACACCCACAGACACACACACACAGACACGCACACACACAGACACACATACAGACACAAACACAGACACACACAGACACACACACAGACACACACACACACAGACCCACACACACAGACGCACACACACAGACACACAAACACAGACACACACAGACACACACACACACAGACCCACACCCACAGACACAGACACACACAGACACAGACATACAGACACACACATACAGACACACACAGACAGACACCCCCCCACACGCCTGTGTTTACCAGCAGTTTGTAGCATTGATGTGGTTGGGTTTAGACCGAGTTAAGAGATTCCCAAAGCTGAGGACGTCGATGGGAACAGTTCTGCATCTGACGAGCCACAGAGATGATGGGTTCTGGGCCCAGGAGACTGACAGAGGTCACTGAGAGAAGGCAATGAGACAAGATGGCTTTACCGTTATACTGGGAATTGGGTAACCAGAAAACATAGGTGGCATTGACGACTGGTTTGGCGCTGAGGAACTTCCTGGTCCGGAGCTTGAACTGTGCGGACAGGGGTCTGAGATGAGTTGACATCCATTTCAAATCGCAATTGGCTTTCAAAACAACCGACGATTTCAGCCACCAAACAAGTTGCTGTCCCTTCTGCGACACGTTGGTCACCTTCCCCACCACAGCTAAACACAAGACAGACACAAGTCAAACACAAGTCAAACACAAGACAAACGCAAGACAAATGCAAGACACACAAGGCAAACACAAGACAAACCCAAGACAAAACACAACACAAAACACAAGACAAACCCAAGACAAAACACAACACAAAACACAAGACAAACCCAAGACAAAACGCAAGGCAAACACAAGACAAACACAAGACAAATGCAAGGCACACAAGACAAACACAAGACAAAACGCAAAAGAATTGCAAGACAAACACAACACATAAGAACATAAGATAAAAGAAATCGACTCCATCGTGCCCTCCACCGTCCTGGTGGTCACTTGTACATATGTCCTGAACTCCCTACGTACTGCGCTCCATAAACACAACGCAACACGGTCCCAGACAGAGAGCAATGGCCGGCGACATTAATAATAATAATGATATAATAATAATATAACAATATCAATGACAATGATAATATTAATAATAATAATAATCCCGGCATTTGACCCGGCGCCTCATCACGTCGTCAAAACGTCTCAAAGCGCTTCACAGGAGACACTGTAAAGTGTAGTGACTGAGTGTTTTCTGCAGCAGCCAATTGCGCCCAGCGACGTCCCAGTTCTTGTGGGGATGGTGGGGACTCACCTGCACTGTTACAGAGGGTGGACATAGGAACCTTGACTAAAGCCATCAGCTTGACATCTGTGAGAGGAAGCCAGACAGTGATTATTATTATTGCTGTTATTATTATGGTTGTTGTTGTTGTTGTTGTTGTCAGACGCTGTTACATAATCACAACCAATTCCATTTGTGACGAGCCTTTCACATCTGGCGGACACCCCAAGACACTGGAAACGGAGGGAGGGAGGGAGGGAGGGGGTGGGTGGGGTGTGAGTGAGTGAGTGAGTGAGGGAGGGAGGGAGGGAGGGAGTGAGGGAGGGAGGGAGGGAGTGAGTGAGTGAGTGAGGGAGGGAGGGAGGGAGGGAGTGAGGGAGGGAGTGAGGGAGTGTGTGAGTGAGTGAGTGAGTGAGGGAGGGAGGGAGGGAGGGTGGGAGGGAGTGAGTGAGGGAGGGAGGGGGTGGGTGGGGTGTGAGTGAGTGAGTGAGTGAGGGAGGGAGGGAGGGAGGGAGTGAGGGAGTGAGGGAGGGAGTGAGTGAGGGTGTGAGTGAGTGAGTGAGTGAGTGAGTGAGGGAGGGAGGGAGGGAGGGAGGGAGTGAGGGAGGGAGGGAGGGAGGGAGGGGGTGGGTGGGGTGTGAGTGAGTGAGTGAGGGAGGGAGGGAGTGAGGGAGGGAGGGAGGGGGTGGGTGGGGTGTGAGTGAGTGAGTGAGGGAGGGAGGGTGGGAGGGAGGGAGTGAGTGAGTGAGTGAGTGAGGGAGGGAGGGAGGGAGGGAGTGAGTGAGTGAGTACCCACCTGGCTGGGGTTTGACCCCCAGTTGTTGTGAGCAGCACCGCTGGTGGCTGCTGTTGTAATAGTGATGGCCGCAGCAGTGGAAGGAGGTGTGGAGGGGGTAGATCAAGGAGAATTGGGGCGAGCGACAGCATTGGTGGGTGTTGGGGTCGATGAGGAGTTTTCCGCAGCATTCCCCACCCCCGGGGGCCGGGAGGGCAGTGTGTAGCCTCCCCCCACAACACACACTCGTGTTGTCGCTCTCATCATACGCACTCACACCACAACAGGAGGCCACACGGGAACCCAGGGACCCAGAGTGTCTGCCGGGGAAACAGTACATGGTAACACTCGACAACAACAACAACATCATCATCATCAACATCATCAACAATGACAACATCAATAACAACAACGTCGACGACGACAACAACATCAGCAACATCGCCAACAACATCGCCAACAACATCAATGAGGAGGAGAGGGAGGAGGGAGGGGGGAGGATGAGGAGGGGGAGGTGGCAGAGGAGTGGGGGGGGGGGGGGGGCGCGTGGGAGGGGTGTGCTCCTCAATTACCTGTGCCCGTTGCAACAGATGTGTGTGTGGTTTTGGAGTTGGTGCCCGCAGCACTGGGTCCCGGGCTGTGTCGGGTGGATGACTGACCCGCAGAGGGTGTGGGTGGTCGGGTTGTATATGGCGTTTCCTACGCAATGAGTGACGTTTGAGGTTTTCACGTGAAGAGTCTCTCCACAACACACCAGGGCCCGGCTGTCTTTGGGGTAAACCTGAGCCCCACAGCACTGAGAGGCCAACACCAACACAGTCAGAAATAACAACAATAATAGCAATAATAATAATAATAATAATAATAATCCTGGCATTTGATGTGGGGGTGGGTTTGGTGGGGGGGTGGAGATGGTGTCAGAGTGAGTGACACTGGGTGTAACGTACCTCTTGTTGAGACCCTCCATGACGGCGATTGTGTAGATTCCCAGAGCAGCAAATCTGTGTCTGTTCATCATAGTCAATCCCTCCACATGGGATCAGCACAAGAGAACCTGAGCAACAACAACAACAACAATAATAATCCCGGTGTCTGACCCGGCGCCTGATCACGTCGTTGAGACGTCTCAAAGCGCTTCACAGGATACACTGTAAAGTGTAGTGACTGTGTGTTTTGTGGGAAGAAACGCGGCAGCCAATTGCGCTCAGCGATGTCTCCAGCCAGGGGTTGAAGTGAACAAATTACTATTTTGAAGGGATTATTACCCCTGGAAAGTGACCCCCCAATCGACTAACAAGTGTGTGTGTGTGTGTGTGTGTATGTTTGTGTGCGTGTGTCTGTGTGTGTGTGTGTGTGGGGGGGGGGGAGTAAGGAAACTTGCCTAAAGTTTCGCCCCAACCTGACCCGCCCGGAAATCGAAACCAGGTCCTCTGGCTTGCGAGGCGAGGGGTCTAACCCCTGAGCTACAGGGGCTGTGGGGTGTGAGGCGAGGGGTCTAACCCCTGAGCTACAGGGGCTGTGGGGTGTGAGGCGAGGGTCTAACCCCTGAGCTACAGGGGCTGTGGGGTGCGAGGGGAGGGGTCTAACCCCTGAGCTACAGGGACTCACTATCAGAAGGGTGTGCTGTGCTCACCTTGGGGACAGGTGTGAAGGTGGGTGCGGGGGGGGGGTGTGGGTGGGGGGGGACGCAGCTTACCTTGGGCACAGGTGTGAAGGTGGGGGTGGTAGGGGATAGAGCTGTTGATGGTGAAGTTGTCGCAGCACTCTGTCCCCTTGTGACGGCTGTGGACAGTCAGGTTTGAGCAGCAAATCTCCTTCTCCTTATCAAACAGACGTTCACCACAACACAGCTGCGACTTCGAGGATCTGCCCAACTCACGTCCTGTGGGAGTGAGAGGGTCCCCAACAGTCACACTCCTCATCATCAACATAATAATAATAGGAATAATAGTAACGATAATAGTAATAATAGTAATATTAGTGATAGTAATAATAGTCACACCGGTCACAATAATAGTGACAATAGTAATAATATAGTAATATAAATAATAGTAATAATAATATTATTAATAATAGTAATCCTGGCATTTGACACAGCGTCTCATCAAGTCTTCAAGCCGTCTCAAAGCGTAAAGTGTAGTGACTGTGTATTTTGTGGGCGAAACGCGGCAGCCAATTGTGCCCAACGACGTCCCCACAAACAGTCGCGGGTTGAGAGACCACATTATTATTATTATTATTGTTGTTATTGTTATTGTTATTATTGTTGTTATTATTATTATTGTTGTTATTAATATTATTATTATTATTGTTATTATTGTTATTATTGTTATTATTGTTATTAATATTGTTATTATTATTACATGACGAGAGGTGCAACACTTGACATTTTGAGGCACTGCTCTCAGGGCTCAGAACAGAGGGAAACAGGCGATGAAATTAAATGATGACAAATGTACCGTTTCCACAGATGAGATCTTTCAGGTGTAATGTTCCTGTGTAACAAACACACAAACACACGCGTGTTACACAGATGTTTGGTACCCAACAGCCAACAGTCTGTTTGAGTAAAGTTCGTGAGACACAGACACACACAAACACACACTCACACACATACCCTCACACACACACCCTCACACACACACACACTCACAGACACACTCACACACACACTCACACACATACTCACACACCCACACACTCACACACTCACACACACACCCTCACACACACACACACTCACAGACACACTCACACACACTCACACACACTCACACACATACCCTCACACACACACACACCCTCACACACACACACACACTCACACACATACCCTCACACACGTACCCTCACACACTCAAACACACACTCACACACATACCCTCACACACACACTCATACTCACACACATACCCTCACCCACTCAAACTCACACTCACACACACACTCACACACTTACACACACACATACCCTCACACGCACTCACACACATACCCTCACACACACTCACACACATACCCTCACACACACTCACACATACCCTCACACACACACTCACACACATACCCTCACACACACTCACCCATACCCACACACACTCACACACATACCTTCACACACACTCACACATATCCTCACACACACACTCACACACTCACACTCACACACTCAAACATACACTTAGGCACAAGACACACACACTCACACACAGATACACTCACACACACACTCACACAGACACACTCACACACACTCATACACTCAAACACACACTCACATACATACCCTCACACACACACTAACACATATGCAGACACACTCACATACATGCAGACACACACACACTCACACACACACACTCACACACATATACAGACAGACACTTTTTAAAGGGGATATTAACTACTTCGCTCTCAGAGTTGTGCGTCTCTGTGTGTGTGTCTCTGTGAGTGTGTATGTGTGTGAGTGTGTGTGTCTGTGTGTGTGTGTGTGTGTGTGTGGGGGGGGGGAGTAAGGAAATCTGACCTGACCAGCCCGGCTGGGAATGGAACCCGGGTCCTCTCTCTCGCTCTGGCTTGCGAGGCGAGGGGTCTAACCCCTGAGCTACAGGGGCTGTGGGGTGTGAGGCGAGGGGTCTAACCCCTGAGCTACAGGGGCTGTGGGGTGCGAGGCGAGGGGTCTAACCCCTGAGCTACAGGGGCTGTGGGGTGTGAGGCGAGGGGTCTAACCCCTGAGCTACAGGGGCTGTGGGGTGTGAGGCGAGGGGTCTAACCCCTGAGCTACAGGGGCTGTGGGGTGTGAGGCGAGGGGTCTAACCCCTGAGCTACAGGGGCTGTGGGGTGCGAGGCGAGGGGTCTAACCCCTGAGCTACAGGGGCTGTGGGGTGCGAGGAGAGGGGTCTAACCCCTGAGCTACAGGGGCTGTGGGGTGCGAGGAGAGGGGTCTAACCCCTGAGCTACAGGGGCTGTGGGGTGCGAGGTGAGGGGTCTAACCCCTGAGCTACAGGGGCTGTGGGGTGCGAGGTGAGGGGTCTAACCCCTGAGCTACAGGGGCTGTGGGGTGCGAGGTGAGGGGTCTAACCCCTGAGCTACAGGCGCCTGTCTCACTGTGTGGGGTGGGGTGCAGTGGGGTGTGCGGCTGTGCTCACCTTTGTGACAGGTGTGGGTGGTGGGATGGTAAGGGACTGAGCTGATGGGATCGGAGCTGAAATCGCTGCAGCAGTGGGTCCCCTCCCGATGGCTGTGAACAGTGAGGTTTGGGCAGCAGATGTGACTCTCTTCGTTGTAGACGCGGTCATCACAGCACAACTCCGACGGTGAAGACCTGACCAGCAATCCTGAAACACAGCCACAGTCTGAGTGTGTGTGTGAGTGTGTGTGTGTGTGTGTGAGTGTTTGTGTGAGTATGTGTGTGAGTGTGTGTGTGTGTGTGAGTGTGTGTGTGTGTGTGAGTGTCTGTGTGTGAGTGTGTGTGTGAGTGTCTGTGTGTGAGTGTCTGTGTGTGTGTGAGTGTGTGTGAGTGTGTGTGTGAGTGTCTGTGTGTGTGTGTCTGTGAGTGAGTGTGTGTGTGAGTGTGTGTGTGTTTGTGTGTGAGAGTGTAAGTGTCTGTATGTGTGTGAGTGTCTGTGTGTGCGTGTATGTGTGTGTGTGTCTGTGTGTGTGTGAGTGTCTGTGTATGAGTGTCTGTGTGTGAGTGTCTGTGTGTGTGTGTGAGTATGTGTGTGAGTGTGTGTGAGTGTGTGTGTGTTTGTGTGTGAGAGTGTGTGAGTGTGTGTGTGTGTGTCTGTGTGTGTGTGAGTGTGTGTGTGAGTGTCTGTGTGTGAGTGTCTGTGTGTGTGTGTGAGTATGTGTGTGAGTGTGTGTGTGTGTGTGAGTGTGTGTGTGTGTGTCTGTGTGTGTGTGAGTGTCTGTGTGTGAGTGTGTGTGTGAGTGTCTGTGTGTGAGTGTCTGTGTGTGTGTGTGAGTATGTGTGTGAGTGTGTGTGTGTGTGTCTGTGAGTGAGTGTGTGTGTGAGTGTGTTTGTGTGTGAGAGTGTAAGTGTCTGTATGTGTGTGAGTGTCTGCGTGTGTGTGCGTGTATGTGTGAGTGCCTGTGTGTGAGTGAGTGTGTGTGTGTGAGTGTGTGTGAGTGTCTGTGTGTGAGTGAGTGTTGTTTGAGTGTCTGTGAGTGTCTGTGTGTGTGTCTGTGTGTGTATGTGTGAGTGTCTGTGTGTGTGTCTGTGTGTGTATGTGTGAGTGTCTGTGTGTGTGCGTGTGTGTGTGTGAGTGTGTGTGAGTGTCTGTGTGTGTGTCTGACACCTGACATTTGGTGGGGGGTGGGGGGGGGTCTTACCTGACGAGTTCTCCCCGGGGTTACAGCAGAGGGAGGTGAGGCGGTTGTATGCACTGGTCCCACAGCAGTCGGTTGTCACATTGTTCCCCTTCTGAACAACACCTGATGGAATAGAAGCACCGTCACCCCCCACCCCACACAGGCAATCAGACCCTCATCGGGTGCTCACTGGCGCGGGGGGGGGGGGGGGGGGGGGGGGGGTGGAGGGGTGGGGGGTGTTTGCACATTCTGTGGATTCCTGTAGTTCAGGGCTTAGACCCCTCGCCTCGCGAGTCAGAGAGAGAGAGAGAGAGAGGACCCGGGTTCCATTCCCAGATGGGAGTGGGGGGTCAGGTCAGAGCGAAACCTTAGGCAAGTTTCCTTACTGCCCCCCCCCCCCCCCCCCCCCCCCACACACACAACACACACACAGACAACACAACACACAGACACACACAACACACAGACACACACAACACACAGACACACACACAGACACACACACAGACACATACCCACAGACACACACACACAGACACACACACAGACACACACACACAGACACACACACAGACACACACAGACACACACCACAGACACACACACAGACACACACACACAGACACACACACACACACACACAACACACACACACAGACACACACACAGACACACACACACAGACACACACACAGACACACACACAGACACACACAGACACACACACAGACACACACACAGACACACACACACAGACACACACACAGACACACACAGACAGACACAGACACACACACAGACCACACACACAGACACACACACACAGACACACACACAGACACACATACACGGGGGAGTGGGTGGGGGGCGCGGGGGAGTGGGTGGGGGCCGCGGGGGAGTGGGGGGGGGCCGCGGGGGAGTGGGGGGGGCGCGGGGGAGTGGGGGGGGGCGGGGGAGTGGGGGGGGGGGGGGGGGGGGGGCGGGGGAGTGGGGGGGGGCGCGGGGGAGTGGGTGGGGGGCGCGGGGGAGTGGGTGGGGGCGCGGGGGAGTGGGTGGGGGGCGCGGGGGAGTGGGTGGGGGGGCGGGGGAGTGGGGGGGGGGGGGGGGTGGGGGCGCGGGGAGTGGGGGGGGCGCGGGGGAGTGGGTGGGGGGCGCGGGGGAGTGGGTGGGGGGCGCGGGGGAGTGGGTGGGGGGCGCGGGGGAGTGGGTGGGGGGCGCGGGGGAGTGGGTGGGGGGCGCGGGGGAGTGGGTGGGGGGCGCGGCTCAGCTCTTCTTAACAGTATCCCTCAAGTCCTAACTAACATGTAGTGGGAAAAGTTGCCGCACATTTTTCTGGTGAGTGGAGAGGGCACACGTGTCGTAACCTGTCACCTTCGCTTAAGAGTCTCCAAACCTATCAGGGAATTGCAGGCCTCCCCCCCCCCCACACCCCCCACACCCGGAAACCCCCCAATAACATTGTGTGTCAGAGTGTGCGTTGGGGTAACTGTTGGGGTCTAACCAACTAAACCCACACAGTTCAGCCCATCGAGAGAGAGAGAGCGAGCGCTGTCTGGCCGAGCTTTCCCGCTGCGTGTCCCGCTCGGACCCTCCTCCCCGTTAGTTAGTTAGTTAGTTAGTTGGGGCTTTGGCTGTGGGGTTAACAGGGGCCGAGGGGGAGGATTCTCTGCCCCTGGGGACTGGTCGGCCGTTCCAGGTCCTGCCGATGAGACGTCTCGTGACGTGATGAGGCGCTGGGACCGACGTGAGGATTATTGTTGTCATTATTTACCTGAGCAGCAGATCTCCTGCTCTGGTCTGTAGGTCTCGTCACCACAACAGCTGAGGCCCTCTTCGGGGAAGACACGACCCTCACAGCAGCTCTGGATTTGGGGGTTAAAGGTTTGGTTTCCGCAGCAACTCAGCTCAGGAGACCCCTCCAAAACCCGCCCGTCCTCGCAGCAAACCTGTCGTCGTCTGCGAGAGACCGAGGGTGAGAGAGAGAGGGGGGAACAACCATTTGCCATCAACCTCCACATGAATTGGTCAGGACCCCTCGCCTCACAAACAAGCCAGAGGACCCGGGTTCGATTCCCGGACGGGTCAGGTCGGGGCGAAACCTTAGGCAAGTTTCCTTACTCCCCCCCACCCACACACACATAGAGACACACACACACAGACTCACGCCTCTGTTCACCAATAATCAGTGTAGGAATCCGGGTGAATCCCTTTCCGTGGGAAACAAAAAAAAATCCCTCCCAAAAACAATTATAAAGTGGGCACTCAATCCACGACTGCGTTTGTGTGGAGGAGTCGTTGGGCGCAATTCGTTGCCATGTCTCGCCCACAAAACACACAGTCCCAACGGTTCACAGCGTGTCCTGTGATGCGCTTTGAGACGTGTCGATGACACAAGAACATGTTTGCTCAAATGTCTGCGGGCTATCGGGCTGTGGCTGCCGTGTCGAGGACGGGAAACCTATTTGCTGCCGTCAATCTCATTCTTGCTTCACTTTGACTGTTTGCGTATCTGGCGGTTTCCATCCGAACACAACTGCAATCTACTCCAGAAAGTGAGTTCATACCTCACCGAGTCACGTAGTCACTGTGATGGTGCAGCAGCCAAACCCGGCAAACAATTTTGTGCAGCCCCTGTAGCTCAGGGGTTAGACCCCTCGCCCCCACCCCACAGTCCCTGTAGCTCAGGGGTTAGACCCCTCCCTCGCACCCCACAGCCCCTGTAGCTCAGGGGTTAGACCCCTCGCCCCCACCCCACAGCCCCTGTAGCTCAGGGGTTAGACCCCTCGCCCCCCACCCACAGCCCCTGTAGCTCAGGGGTTAGACCCCTCGCCCCCACCCCACAGCCCCTGTAGCTCAGGGGTTAGACCCCTCGCCCCCCCCCCTGTAGCTCAGGGGTTAGACCCCCCCCCCCCCACCCACAGCCCCTGTAGCTCAGGGGTTAGACCCCTCGCCTCGCGAGCCAGAGGCCCCGGGTTCAATTCCCGGGTGGGACACGACAGGACAAAACCTTAGGCACGTTTCCTTACCAACCCCCCGCACAGCCCCCCCCCACCCCACACACACCCCCCCACCCCACCCCCACACACACACCAACCCCCCCCACACACCCACACACCCCACACCCCCCACACCCCCCCCCACACGCACACACACACACACACCACCCCCCCCCCGCCCCACACACACACACACACGCGCCTGTGTCCCCGGCAGTCAGTCACTTGTCAGGCGATTGCGAGGGGGGAATAATCCCTTCAAAATAATAATAATAATTCGGTCACTTCAACCCCCGGCTGTTTGTGGGGACATCGCTGGGGGCGATCGGCTGCCGCATTTCGCCCACAAAATGAACAGTCACCACACTTTACAGTGTGTCCCGTGAAGGGCTTTGAGACGTCTCGACGACCCGATGAGGCGCCGGGTCACACGCCGGGATTATTATTATTAATATCATGATTGATAATATTATTACTATATTATTATTAATATAATAAGCGCTTTGAGACGTCTCAAATTATTATAATGATCATTAATAATAATAATCCTTGATTGAGATACAGCCCTTATCACGTCTTCAAGACGTGTCAAAGCCCTTCGCGAATATACTGTCAAATGTAGGTGGATATATTATTATTACTCACACGTAGTAGCTCTTGTCTTGGCAACAGCGTAAATCTTCCTCCCTCTGAAAAATGTTGCCCCCACAGCATAATGTCTGTTCTACATCTGTTATTTCAGACCCACAGCAGAACTTCTTACTCTGATGGTCACTTGGAATAAGATGTGTCCGGGAATGATTCACTAGAGAGGAAGCAGATGGTTGGGTTTAGTGATAAACGTGGCAGCTCGGGGACCTGCTGTCACTGCAGTAATAATCACTTTAATAATAATAATAATAATAATAGAATCGTACAGCTCTTTGAAAAGAGCAATGTAATGTCAGTCCCACTCCCCGGCCCTTTCCCCATAACCCGCAGACCCTCCTCCTCAAATACCCGTCCACCGCGTTTTTAAAAGCTGTTATTGAGTCGGTCTCCACCGCCCTTTCAGGTGAGTGGTCACTCAATCCACGGCTGTCTGTGGGGACGTCGTTGGGAGCAATTGGCTGCCGCGTTTCACCCATAAACAACAATAACAACAACAAAATTACATGTGTGAAGTCGGGAGGACATCCCAAAGCGCTGGACAGTCAGAGTTACGGACCCGAGATGAGGGTCAGGGTGGGGGAGCGGGAGGGCAGTGGGGAGCAGGGAGATCAAAGAGGAGGGTCTTGAGATGTGTCTTGAAGGAGGCGAGGGAGGGGGCGAGGGAGGGGGCGAGGGAGGGGGCGAGGGAGGGGCGAGGGAGGGGACGAGGGAGAGGGCGAGGGAGGGGCGAGGGAGGGGGTGAGGGATGGGAAGAGGGAGAGGGCAAGGGAGGTGGTGAGGGATGGGGCAAGGGAGTGGGTGAGCGAAAGGGCGTGGGAGGGGGCGAACGAAAGGGCGAGGGAGGGGGGCGCGAGGGAGGGTTGAGGCGGAGGGTCTGCGGGATGGAGTTGCAATAGTGGGGCGAGCGAGGCGGGGGACGTGAAGCAGGCTGGAGCCCACTGAGCGGAGGGAAGGAGCAGGAAAGGTAGAGGGTTAGGACACACAGTCACTACACTACACTTTACAGTGTTTCCTGTGAAGCGCTTTGAGACGTCTCAGCGACGTGATGAGGCGCCGGGTCAAACACAAGGATTATTATTATTATTATTATGTTTAATAATTCGATAGATTGCAAGGTTCTTACCTGGACTTGGGTTTTTGTTGGAAGGAGAACAGATCTCTCCCCTGACAGTTTTTCCGCTCAGAGCCGTGAGCACTAAACAGCAAGAGAGAGAGAGAGAGAGAGAGGACAGTCATTCAACAACAACAACAACAACAACTTGCATTTACACAGAGCTCCTCACGCAGGCCAGGGACCCAGAGTGGAGCAGGTGCGAGGGAGGGAGGGAGGGAGGGAGGGGGGAGGTGACTGTACGCTGAAGGTCTTCAGGTGCGACCTGAAAATGTGGAAGGATTGAGGCGTGCAAGGCGGAGGGAGGGATTGGGGGGGAGAGAGCGACAGAGCTTCGGGGCGCAAAGGCTCCGATGGTGGAGCGGAGGGGACGAGGGGCAGGAGGCTGGAGCAAGTCGAGCGGAGGCAGTGGGTAGTGGGTTGGTTGGGTGGGGTGGGGTTGGGAGGCAGGTGGGGAGACACAATCCGTGCAGTCACGTAGCTCAGGGGTGAGAGGATTGGCCTCATGAGCAAGAGGACTCGGGTTTGATTCTGACGCACAATCAGATGCAAAGATTATTATTATTAATAACAATATTCAAGTCAAAGAAAATTCACAAGAACCAAAACCTACCGAGAAAGCAGAGGAGAAGCATGATGGAAAAATGAGCATTTGTCTGCAACAAGTGGCTGCATATATAGTGAGTGAGAAATATTGGTATGAGATCATACAAGGTGGAGCCTTTGGGTTTGATAGATAAACAGGTCAACAAAAGGATGAATGAGGTATGGAAATAAATATAGATAAAGAGCGGAGACTCATTTGATATTTCTTTGTGTTGATGCTAAATAGAGAGGTAACTAGTGGTGATGTTGATCATAGGATTGTTATTTTCCCACTGTGGGTTATGGCAATTTTCTGGATCAGAATGTGGACTCTCTACTTCAATTTGATTGGCCTGACTTTGAGCGATAGGGAGGAATTTATTACCCCTTCCACCCCCACCCCTCCCCTCCCCGCCCCACCCCGGAGCCAAAATGTTTCCCTCGTTCGTCCCTAATTGTCCAATGTCGAACCTTTCACCAATAAAAATCATAAACGAATAAAAGAATAATGAATAATTAATGAGATAACTCAAAGGGCTTCACAGAATGTTACCACTGAGTTTTTGTTGACTGTGCATTTTTGTGGGCGAAACACAGGCCAATTCGTGCCCAGAGACCCCAATCCCCCCCGCAACCCCCCCCCCCCCCCCCCCCCACCCACACAGTTATGGGTTGAGTGACCACATTAGTAATATTTCTGGAAGGATTATTGCAGTCTATCCTGTGAAGGGCTTTGAGACGTCTCGAGGGTGGGATAAGGAGCTTTATCAAACCCAAGAATAAATATGAAGTCACAGGAAGAATAAGAAACACACCCTGAATTATCCAACTGGAAAATGATCAAATTTTCCTGCAGAAAACTTGTTTCATGAATAATTTCCTTGTGTTTTTTTTCACACAAACTCACAAAATCCAGTGAGCTCATCCCATCTCTGCAGAACTTGCTCTCACACTTGCTCTCCATCATTGTGCAGTCCCTCGCCTCACAAACCAAAGGACCCGGGTTCGATTCCCGGTGGGGGGGGGTGGGTCAGGTCAGGGCGAAACCTTTGGTAAGTTTCCTTACTCCCCCCACCCCCCCACACCCCACACCACACACACCCATAGATACACACACGGAACACACACACACCTCTGTTTCCCAGCAGTCAGTACAAACCCACTTAATAATAATAATAACTCTTGCAATTGATATAGCGCTTTTCACGTCGGGAGGACGTCCCAAAGCGCTTCACAGAACACACTGTAAAGTGAATTGACTGTATATTTGTGGGCGAACGCGGCGGCCAATTGCGCACAGCAATGTCCCACAAACAGTCGTAGATTGAAAATGACCAATTTATTATTGTTTTTGGTTTTGGAGGGATTATTATTAGGCTCTGTGTGGGGTAAGGAAACTTGCCCGAGGTTTGGCCCTCTGCCTGGGATTGAACTCAGGTCTCTCACTTGCAAAGCGAGTGCTCTAACCACTGAGCTACAGGACTCCACACTTGTTAGTTGATTGGGGATCACTATCACGGGGGTAATAATCCCTTCAAAATAATAATAATAATAATAACGTGGTCCCTCAATCCACAACTTTTGTGGAGTTGAAGTGACCAAATAATTATTATGTTTTTTCTTGTCGAGGGATTATTTCCCCCGGAAAGTGATCAGACAAACCATTAGCAAACAGGTTCCTACTGACTGCTGGTAAACTGAGGCGCGTGTGTGTGCATGTCTGTGCGCGTGTGTGTGCATGTCTGTGCGCGTGTGTGTGCATGTCTGTGCGCGTGTGTGTGCATGTCTGTGCGCGTGTGTGTGCCTGTCTGTGCGCGTGTGTGTGCATGTCTGTGCGCGTGTGTGTGCGTGTCTGTGCGCGTGTGTGTGCGTGTCTGTGCGCGTGTGTGTGCGTGTCTGTGCGCGTGTGTGTGCGTGTCTGTGCGCGTGT